AGATTTACATACAGCAACTGGGCACACTCATGAACCATTTTGAAATCTGGCTCTTAGAAGTTAAATTGCAGACAGAAATGATCTAAGCTTTCACAGCTTTCTCCCATCACAGACAGATGGTGCCTGACCCGTGTAATAATTTCTGCCATATTCCACCCATATGCAAGCCTCACTGCTTCCATCAAGCTGTTAGTACCAATCAACATTTTTCAGAATTGAGATTTTAATAAAGCATTGATAGAAAAATGTGAAGATTTTATAAATTCTCTCATGAATATCCATTCCATAGGGACCACCTTAGGCTCTTCTAAAACATCTCCATCTGTACCATTTAAGTCCTGCTCCAAGTAAATCAAATCTGAGTGTCTGACTCCCTAACCCCAGGAAATATTCTGATTCTCTCCCTTCCCTAGCAACTGGATGTTGAAATACCATTTCCCCCTCTTTGCCCACACAGCTAAATTCCTACTCTGCCACTTTGCATCTCCATCCTTGATTACTAAAAAACTCGACCCTGAAGCCCTTGACTACATGCAAAACACAGCTGTTTCTTGTTACCTTTCTTGTCCTAACCCTTTCTGGCCATACAAGTTCCATTCAACCCATTATTGGATTCTCTTCCCTTTCCACCTTCAGTCAGTGCTTCTCCCTTTTTAACAATCACTATCTGTTAAAGCACTGTCACACCTTCCTTGACACCCATTAAAATTATTTCTGCTCAATTGTCTCAAGATGTGTTCCTGTATCTTCTTCTATCCCATCTCTATATCCGGTTTCATCCATTATAGGAAATGGATGAACCAGCTTCCCCCAAGATTTTCCCTAGAATGATTTACCTTACGAATAAAGGTCCAAAAACCCTTAGATTCTTTGCAACTAGTTTCAATGCAAAAAACCTTAGATTCAATGCACTGTCCGTATTTCATGTCTGTCTACTATCCTATTTGCATATTCTCTATGACTATTTTCCAGTCTCATTGCCTCATTACGTGTCAGATATACTGCAATACTGCCAGGATGGCTACGGAGAAGTGCAAAACAAACATGGTTCACCACACATAGGGAACTCTTTAATTCTGATGAAAATAGAGGAAAAATCCCAACCTGCACTACACATCAAATACTTGTATTTATGATTTAGGTATATTACTGCTACCAACTCTAGTAGAATCTGTTCAGTCAAAACCTGTAGCCCCAAAGGAAAGAAGAGACATGAGGATCTATTCTATGGTAAAAGGAGGTACCATTATTTCAGAAATTGTCTGACTGAAAGAAAACATTATCTAGCTAATTTGATATTTAGATTAATTTTAGGAAATATTATATAGATACTACAGCAGAGGAGTCCTCAGACTCTTAGTTCCTTGTCAGGAACACATTCTTAGTTCACGAGAGCAGAGTGTAAGCCTTGGCTAGAAGGAATTGGAGCATCTATCTCCCCTGCCAGCGCTGCCCCTCCTCCTGGCACCAGCCCGGCTGAGTGGAGAAGTCCCTTCCCGCTGTGAAGGGGCAGAGATGGTCACTAGGCACGCTGCCCTCTGCCACTTCAGCACCTGCATGTCGTCTCAGAGGAAGTGGGAAGGCAATGAGCCATTCAAGGAGCCCTCTTAGCCCCAGCATCAGCAAATTTGTTGGTGTACTCTCAGACTGATGCAGTCTAGAGGAAATACAAGAGCTTACAGAGAAAAGGCTGAAAGTTTCACCTCAAAGTCTCCATAAATCCCTTTACCTTCCTAGGAAAGTGACGAATCCCTAGAGCCAGTCTTGAATGAATCAAGAGACCATTCTGCTTTAACACCTTCAAGAGATCAGTACAGGGCTTGGCAGGATGTTCTCCTCCATTACAAACAGTACAATCCACTCAGGGGTGTGCTGTGTCTCTGGTATCAGCAATTACATAGCTAGGACTTAACTATGAAAGAAGAGCTATGCTCTACTAGAAAGCATAAACTGAAAGGAACAACATCTGGTAATAGTCTACCCTACCCCTTCATCTAACTTTCTTAGCTTAGAATATTTTTGGTAAAAATCCAAGCTCCTCCAGTACTGGCTAATGAGAGACTGAGCATGCTTTTTGGCCATAGAGAAAAGAAATGTAAGCTTATAACATAAGCTATGGGGTCTGATTTATGAAATATGCTGACAAGCTACAGAGAAAGGCAAGTAAAGTTCCCCATAGCCAGTTCTGGAACCAGACACATCATAAGCACACAAGCACTGCACTAACCCAGTTCTGCCTCCTCCAGGACCAAGGCTCGTTGAAAGCATTACTGGACCACTACTATAAGAGGGTTGCTTTTAAGCAGACCATAGCTCTAAAGCAGCCATCAAGCCAAGACATCTGTTCATACACATCTCCTGTCATTGCCTAGTCAAGTGAAGATTACAAAGCACATTCTGGTTATCTGTTTTCTTCTTAGAAACATTATCACATTCTTAGAGCGGTTGCCTGGGTTTTGCTTCTCACAGAACATTATGAGCTTGGGATGACTATGTTGGCGGCTCTTAGCACATTGCGCAAGCTAACAGAATACAAATGATTATATAAATAATAAAACTGCTGAAGATTTTCTTGTCATTGCTTTCTTTGCTCCATTGGCTTGACTTAAAGCACACATAAAAATGGCCTCTGCTAAGTGTTATGTTCATAGCATCCATAAATAAAATTAAGATCTTGATTTAAAGAGACACTAAGAGGCTGTATCTCCTCCTGATTTCCATCAAACTGGGATGTTCAGCGCCTAGGAAAATCAGGCCCAAGGCTCTACAAATGTAACCAGAAGGATTTGATGTCCATATAGCAGTTTGTATTCAAGCAGCAAAGTTTCATTTTCTATATGAGATGCTCACAAACTCTTCTCTAACATATGTACATCCCTTTAATCCAGAGATCAGGCAGGAGAGCAGCTTCAGAACCTAACAACTCTTCTTCACATCAGAGCCCTGGCACATAACATGCAAACCCTGACACCACAAGTTAAGTATCAGTAGGATGATTACTCGTCAAGGCAATTACAGCCACTGAACAACATCTAGTTCAGCGTTGCTGCTTCTATGACTCCTATGTAAGCTTTTTATAACACTTGGTGGAGACATCAATATCTGTACCCCCATTAATCACAGTGATAACCACAAATTGCATTAGAAGAGAGAAGAAAGAAGACAAAAGATAACTGCAAGCCAACATCAAAAGTAAACTGTTTGGGATTTGGACAGAACTTATCTTTTTATTTGTTTTGGGTTTTTTTTGGTTTTTTTTTCCCCAAGGATCACTTTTTTGGTTCTTGCTGCTTGCCAGGCAGTCCAATCTCTATTACCCATGTGTGAGTTTTCTCAGTGCTACGTGGCAAGTGCAGCCAGCCAGAGTAATACAACACAGTTTTCAGAACCAGCTAGCTCTTCCTGACCAATGCAGCCACACAAGTGCACAGACTTAGCAACCCAGTTTAAGGACTTAAAGATGACAGTTGTCTGTCTCAAGTACTGTTAAGGTCACAGAACAACTTTGCCATGAGATGAGCACAGAGTGGAGTGACAGGACAGTGCTAACTCCAGGCAGCAGTGAGATCTGGTCAGGACATCCTGGGTAATGCATCCAGACAAAACTTCCCACTGTGGTGAACTTTGTAAAGAAGCAAGTTCTACACATACCACTGATCAAACAAAGATCCCAAAGATCCCAAGTTATGGGACAAATGGCATCTATGACCACTGAGGAACCCCCCCACCCCCCAATCCCTTCCCCAGATATGCCTCCATGGATACCGGGAACTTGGACTGTAAATTAAGCCACCATGACCAGGAACTTGAGATAAGATAGAGGCGATTCTATTGTCCAAGTGTTATCTCCCCTAGGGAGAGGTTAACAAAGCTGTAAGAGCAGAATGCCTAACTCATAATGGAGATGAAGAAAGCAGAAATTATGGGTGACAAGGAAAGCAACTATGCTGAATCCCCTTGGACTGGGTAAAAGGTAATTCCATCAGGGGAGATTGTGACTGCTGACTCGCAACCCACCAACTACAAAAAACAGAAAGACTGAGCATGGGACTAAGTAACATTAGAAGCAAGGGGATTTTTTTAACCAATAGAATAAAAGATGTGTGTGACCAAAGAGCATTAATTCCTTTGCTTGAAAAGATATATAAACAGTGAAAATTTTTGTGTGACCTCAGACCCCCCACCACTAAGAAGCCTAGGGTGAAGAAGGAAAGATGGGACACCACTGAATACATGGGTGGTGACTATTTTTTGTTTCACCTGTCTCTCTTTTTTTCTCTTTTCTACTTCTTTCTATCTCTCTCTCTTCCTCACATTTTATTGTTCAATAAAGTCATACTATTGACTTCAGCATATGATTTTGTTTGCTCTTCAATTCAGGGAGAAGCATCTCTCAATATTTATATCACAACACACCGTACACTTCATGTCCACATGCCACAGGATTGGCACACCTCCCTGACACACCCTCATGCTGCATTCTCCTTGCAAAATTTACACTTTTTATGCTACCTTCAACTTTCATTTTTCTGTTTTATTCTATTTCTGTATCTTCCTGGAAAATTCAGATCTAACTATACTCCCAGGTGAAATCCAGGACCTTAAAAAGTATTCTAAATAGGGTTCTGATTATAGTTTTCTCATCTCAAAATGCTACTTAGTAATCAAAGGCCATTTGTCTTTTTATAATGGCTATTGTCAAAGTGCCGAGAAGATAGTAATGCTTTCTTCTGAAGGGCTAACAGCTTAGAGAAGACATGTCTCCTACTACCATGAGCATTTTTTCTGTAATCCAAGCACTAGAAGTATGATTTTGCCCTTAAGTTCATAAATTTTTCAGCCTTCTGACCAGCTGAATGACAAGTTTATCTTTACAGAGCTATTGCACTTATCAGTATAAAATTAGATATAAAGGAAGGATTTAATTGTGTAAGGCAGGAAAGAGTGATGACTTTAGCAAATCAAAAGCACAGAGACAAGAATTAATTTCAAATATTTACCTCTTTGAGGCAGCCCATGAAGTTATTGCTTACTGGAGACCCAGGTAAATCAGCAGTACTGGGGCTCCCTCCCACGTAAAAGAAGTCATCTGAGCCCAGCATGGTGTAATCCTCTTGTGTGTAGCCCGTGGTGGTAAGGATGCCATCCACAGAGATTGTCACCTGTTTGAGGGACACAATGGACAAAGAAAATCCCAGCAATGACCTTACAATCCTGAACAGAACAACTTACCTCCCCTATAATTTTATGCCAGTTTTATTAAGGATTTTGTTGAGATTTGGTATGCTTTTTTTTTTTAGTTGAGCTCTATTTTCTGGTCTGATTTTCCCACAGAGAAATGCTTCAGCATCTGCTTTTTCCCTTTCTGGTGCATCAGCACTCTCAGGCTTACCCAGCAGCCTATCCATCCAGATGCTTTCCATCTATTCAGGCCAGAAAATATAACTGTCCTTGAAAGACATTTCTCATATTAGCTGATTTTATGATTAATTAGAATTTATTTTAATGATTACAGTTAGTTATGGTTGTTAGTAAAAAAAAAACTAATGAAGACGAGGTTGGTATTTTTTATTTTTTAAGTTGCTTTTGCTCACGGCACACTGACAATCATGCATTCAGGGATGGGGGAGAGGGAACTCACTTTCAATACATTATGGATGTGCATGCCATGTACCTGGAGAGACACACACCCACCACCCACAAACAAAATAAAACAGAAAAAAAAGAAAGAAAAAAAAAGAAAAAAAAAAAAACAGAAAAAAATTTCAAACTAACCCATAACCAAAACATAAGCAGAAAATAAATCAAAATAAAATAAATCAAAATAAATCAATCACACACCAACAAATGTGACAGAAGTGGATATGAGAAAGAAAGAGCTGCAAAGCGTGCACACACTGCACTTTGACCTGTCATGCCAATATATCTGAGGTCCAGAAAGATGACAGGAAAAAAGTAAAATAGAGAGAGAGAAGGAGAAGGGAGAAACAACCATTTCACACTCGCATGCAATCAAAAATAAAAATACCAAATGAATTACATAATAACAAAAAAAAAAACTCAGAATGAAACAGAAATGTCCCCAAAATCTCTAAACACAAACACATGGGGCGTGAAGGGTGACAGAAGGAAAGGGTGGGAGAGGAGGAAGTGAATTTGATGTGTTTTGCTTAGATGTTGTTAGTATTTGCAAGGGAAGATGGAGGAAAATAGATCGAGGCCAGGAGGAGACGGGCGAGTCACCAGACGTGGACATGCCATGCAGAGTGTGTACTGAAACAAACAACTGGCTGAGCTCCTGTTGGCCACGCAGGTAGAGGTCAGAGAGAGAGAGAGAGAGAGAGAGAGAGAGAGCAAGAGGGAGAAGGAGGAGAGAAAGCAGAGGGAGGGAAGTGGGGGAAAACCATGAGAAAGAAGACAACTCTGGCCAGTTTGCCCATAATAGCCATTGTCACAACAAAAGGGTGAGAGAAAAAGAGAGCCTTCACCACCACGGACTAGAGGCCCTGCAATGGTTCTGATCTAGAAACCTTCAGAGTAAAAAAAAATGACTAAACTGAAAAGCCAAGAAAAAAAGCCAAATGAAAACAAAAACGCAAAAGAAAGAAATCTAAACTCAAAAACAAGGGACAAAAAACCCCAACAATTTATCACCGAAAAGAAAAAGAAGAACTGAAGACAGAGGTGAAGAAAACAATGAAAGAAATGTCCAAACCCTATTTCCAGAAGAGCTGTGTTAGTTGCTTCTGATGCTCATTTTTCTATTCAAAAAGGTAAAAGGAAAGAAAAAAAAAAAAAAAAAAAGAAGGGGAAAACAACGTGTTTTCAATGAAACTAGAATAAAATTAAAGGAAGCAGTAAGTATAAAGGAGGGGGGAAAAGAGCAGGTAGGGGGAGGAAAAGGCAGGTAACACACGGCAAACCCAAAAAAAGAGACAATAAGAATGATATCTACCAGACAATGTAGTTTGTTTACCATAGCGTGTCCAATGCCTGAGTGCTTTGCGGAAAAGGGGGAAGAAAGGAAATTAAAAAATCGTGAACAGAACGATTGTTAATTAAAATAACTAAAAGGAAAGATGAGTCGTTAGGGTGTTAGTACATTAGTTGGTTAGTAAAAATGACACATTGCATGAATGATCTAGTGTTAGTTTTTCAAAAAAAGGCATGGGGCACCTGAGACACACAAAGTGAGAAAGAGGACAATATGACCGGGACTCTATGGGGAACCATGCCATTTAGACTGTAAAGAAACAGGGGGCTGACTACTCTTCCCACCCTGGTATTAGTCATTAACTTCAACCTTCATACACATTATCCAGACCTGAAGCAAAGTTAAAACAGTGCAATACTTACTCTTCAAATGCTCATCAAGGTGCTTCCCTCAAACAAGAACCTTATGCTCAGAGATATACACACAGAGTACACAGTTTGCCCCTTCAGCACAAAACCAGCCATGACTCCCTTCTGCCACCCACGACCACACCAGCTCCTCTTCCAAGCTTCACTACCCTCAAGTGCTGCCGAATACCACAAGGCCAAGTATTTCCCTTGGCTTGAGGATACAGATGAAGATGAGTCCAAGACTCTGTGTCTTCCTTCCAAGTTTCCCTGTCTGCAGGTTTCTTTACAGCAGCTGAGTTTGTGACTTTCAGGAGAAGCACATAACAGTGCCTGTGCTTGGCTGTTTGCCTGTAGCTCACTTCTGTTATCCAAGATACAGGAATTGAACCTCTCCTACTGAACGGAGAAACACATTGAGAAATTGTGTAAAAAGAATTGTGTCCCTCGTGTCCAGGTTGAAGACAGAAGATTGACAAGACTTAGCATCCCTCCTGTTTCACTGTATCTTTATTACACAGGAGCTAGGAGAATTTACCAGTCAGTTTGGTTCAGCAGAACTTTTTTTAACCTGTCCCAAGGCAAGCAGATGTCAACTGTTAAAACCTACACTTGGCTTCTTTGTGTTTTAGCAGTGAAGGAACTAAAGATCTTCATAGTAGGTTTTGTATTGTGACTACCTTTAGTGTTAATAGGGAAGAGCAGCTTGTGAAGAATCCAAGCCCCTGTTCCAGTGTGATTGAAGTTGGCAGAATTATCCTAAATTACACAAGCAAGATCTACACTGCCTCATGTAAAAACCATCTGCTTGCAGGCTTCAGAGTTGTGCACTTACTAGGGAAATAGGTTTTTGAAGACTTTGGGGTATTGAACATGAAGTCCCAAGGTTGTTTGCCAATGGGAATGAAATAATAATAATAGTCTGTACTCGGAAGTAATGAGCACGAACTCCTGAAGTCTTCACCAAGGAAGTCTTACTCACAGCAAATTGTCATATTAGTAAATTTATTTTTACAAACAAGGGAGTTGAAGTATGGGACAGGGAGAAGAGCATGCTAGAAACAAGACAGAGTGTCAGCAGCAGACCTGAAGACAGACACAAAAAAATCTGACCTTCAGTCTCCTCTGCTCCTCCTCCCTCCAGACCACACTGCCCCACTCTCTGAAAGCCCCAGTAAAATTCAGCCATGATCCTATTGCTAAGTAAAGGTTTCTCACAAGGCAGAAAGAGAGGGCTTAGTTTTAACTGAAATAATAAGATAAATAAACAAGGAGATTTGCTTTGACATTAACAATCACTACTCAAGGGAATCTGTGGATACACTTGGTTTGTCTCTAAGGAGATTAACTGCTGTGATAGTCATTTGATCTAAAAAAAAGCAGCCCTTAGTACTCTCCCAGCTTAGCTACAAAATATTTAACAATTCCAAAAAGTACTAGGCAAAAGTCCAACTATTTAAAGTTATACTCTAATTCTAGGAACAGCCAAAAAATTATACAAATCCTCCTCCCCTTTCTCTTAGACCCCAAAAAAACAGCAGAAAAGATTAGATAGCATCCTGAAGCTGCTGATAGTCCATTTAGCTGGAATTGCTTAGATTTATATAATATTCTTGGAATGTCTAAATTATTGCTTTTAAAGTACATTTTAAAGAGAAATATATCTACCTCCAGTGCAATATTTTCAAGCAATTACAAGGAGGCTACTGATTTTCTTACAAAGCTTCAACATTCAGAGGCAATATATTTTACTGAGGTTTTATGTTTGGCTTTAGAATGGGTTCTTTTAAGGAAACATGAGCACAGCTGGAAACAAGACTTTCTAGTGAGCTAACTGCAACATTACAGGTGAATTTATGTCAGGAAAGACATAGAACCAATAATCTTTTACATTCAAAATTATTTAGGTGATACAAAATTATATTGGATGACAACTTTTAGGACTATCATGACTGCTCTGTCTCAAGGCCTCCTCAATTCCAATATCTGGGTAGCTTTAGATTCTGGATCAATGTCTTGATTTTGAAACAGATGAAAAGTTAAAATGCAAGCATCCAGGGAAAAGGTGACTAAAAAAAATTCAGCCTTCTTGATATTTATTGTTTGAACTGTATTCTGTCATGTTTAACTATAGAAATGGACCCCAAATCACTTCTGCTAATTAAATGTAATCTGATTTGAAGACAGACCTTTCTTTGCAAAGAGCCCATCCATCTCATTAAAACATCCTCTCTCTTGCCCAGTCAAGTTGGACCTTTTAAGAATTCAGGATCACTTAGAAGCATTCACAGTGAATAGATCAGGAAGCTTAAAAATTTACTGTGCTGCTTGATTGGCAAGGGACTACCTACTTTCTAATAATTAGCAAAGTACTGCTCTGGACTCATCAAATATGAAAAGGCACAGACAGTTTTCAATTTGCTTGGTCCACTTTTGTGGACCAATAAAAAAAATCACTAGCTAAAATATTAAGAAAAAGAATGTGACATCTTCCCATCCACAGTTTTGTTTGTGACCATTCACCTTCTGCATCTTCAAGATCCAAACCAATCCTGGCATGATGCAAGGATTAATTTTGCTTCTGGCACATTTGCCCACTGAAATTGATTTCAAATGAAAATAAAAAGTATGATTAACTAAAATGGCCAATGAGCTCTACTGAGATATTCAAGGACCAGCTGTTCTGAAACTACCTAAAAGTAATAAAAAAAAAAAGTCACATCAAATAAAGCCATATATTCCGACCTTTTGAGACTAACAAACTTAGACCAGTTGGTGCATCTCCCTCTACTGTACTGATGGGAAAGGTTAAACAAAATAGGATCATTAAGACCCATCCACTGCATAAGAAATGAAATTTTCATCTGAAATTTTCATATTGAAAACAGATTGATTTTTTTTTCCATAGGTAAGAATTCTGTAGTCTCAATAAAGTTTGATGACAGAGCTTGTTTTCAGACCCAGACATGCTAAGTATGTAGAAATACAGGAATTTACATGAAAAAGACAAATAAAAATCTTGAGCCCCAAGCCCAAATATTGAAAAGACATGAACTCCTGATGACAGAAGAATTATCCACTGACTTCTACTAGTAGAGACTTTTTCTGATTCCTGGCACTGATGATCCTATACTCACAGACACTTTTCCCTTAACTAGTGTAAAATGCTACCACAAATCACATTGTATAAACTTATATAAAGCTATTTAAAGATTGTGCTAATATTGACATTAATGAGAAAATATACAGGTAACTGAATTCACCAACTGATTTTTAATTTAATTTTAAGTCTTAGTTTACAAGCTATTTCTGTTCCTCTACCAGTCAGCACGATATCAAATAGCTCCTATTCACCATGTAAATCTCATTTGTTATGCAATGGATGGCGCTTAGTGACTTGATATATTTACCAGCTTTCAGAGCAAAGTTATTTTATTTTATCTTATCTATTTATGTATGAATTTATATTTCATGAGAAAGGCTTCAGGATTTTAAGTCTAGCCTACTACCAAATACGTCACCTGATATAGTTGTCTGCTAGGAAAACCAGCATGTAGATGTGCAAAATTACAGTGGTAAAATCAGAAAAACTTTTCCAATGTGGAACTGTAGGGTGCTGGATGGATCTGAGTTTGCGTGGGTTTTTTTGATCCTTCCACTTTTCCAGTCCTCACAGCAAACAGAAGAGTCTCAAGGCAGAGACAAGAAATAAAGTAGAATCTCATTATAGAAAGAAGGGGGAAAAAACCAAAAAGAGGAAAAGAAGAACAGAGAATCAAGAAGACTCAGAGACACTCCAGCCAATAAATTCTAAAGCTATAAAGTTAAAATAATTACACACATACCCACCAACCTGCACACCTGCACACTCATATGCACACGCAAAAGAAAAGAAAAAGAAAAACAAGACTTTCAGAATTAGAACTGTGACATCATGGCAATGGTTAAACCAATTAACAAAACTGAGAGAAAAAGGAGAGAGGTGTAGAGCGTTGGCTGTTGGCAATAAGCTCTCTTCCCACAGTAATTAAATGCAACAAGAATATTACTGATAAGATTGAATCATAATTAAGGAAATAATAAAATTCAAAAGGGAGAACAGAAAAAGAAAAAAGGAAAAGGGAGATGAAAGTAAAGTTATGTTACAAGTTTTTATTATTAAATCAAACTGGGAAAAAAATAGAAAATTAATAAATGGGAAATGAAGTTATTACAGGAGGGATAAATTCCTATCAACTAATGTTTTTTCACTGTCCTTTAGGCACCAAGATCCAGAACAGGTGGAGAAACTCTAGCAATAGCACTGAGCTTCCCCATTTCTCCATTACTCTCTCCCATCTGCCTGTCCCAACACAACAAAACTCTCCCCAGCACTTTCTCCCCTTCACCATTACCTGCCGCAGGTTGCGTGTCACCTTAACGTCGTGCCACGCGTTGTCATTGAACTTGCCATTGACCGGCTCCACAATGGCCTCAAAGGCCCCAGACCCCAGGTTGATGACCAAGGAGACCGCACCGTCTTTCAGGGCCAGGTTGACGTAGTCAGCTGACTTGCCCGTGTGCAGAATGAGCCCGTTGCGTTGCCATGTCTTGAAGGAGAGCGTGATCTCATCGCTGCTGCTCTGGATGGGGTTTTGCGACAGGTCATAGCAAAGGTATTCGGAGCCACGGAACGTGGCCATGTTCTCATCTCGCGCTGGAAAGGAAGGCAAACAAAAGATCTATTCAGCAGTCAGCCAAGAGCAGATTTACGGTCATCATGAAATTTAGGCATCCCACAGCACTATCAGCTGTACAGCTAAATATCAAGGCATGCTGATAACTGTAGAGCTCCTTTTGTAACATGGCTACCAAGAGAATTAACTGCAGGGTTGTCAGTAGCGATGAATTTCAGTGCTGTGTTTTTAGTTTCACTGCAGCACTGTCTCCATAGGGACCATTCAACAATATGCAGTGGAGTCTAGGAAAAGCACATTTAAGGACTGTTATAAGACATTTCACATCCTTTTTAGGAGAAGGATGGAAAACTCTATTATTCGCAACACAACCACCACAAATGCCTCGATTAAAAAAACATTTCACAAAGATCAGTATTTAGATTCAGCACTACTGCCATCAGAACTTATCTTAACCTATCCAACAGGAAATTTAAGAAAGACACCAGAACATAATCCTAACAGAGCTGCCCCTTTCTTTCAACTGAACCAAAGACCAAGCAGACACGAAAGCTACATGAGGTGTCCTACAGATTCCTTCTCTGAGAGCACAGGGAAGTCCACATAAAACATTTTGTTTCACAGATGTAAGTAATGTTGCTGGTAAACACATCTGAGAACTTTGTCTGTCTTAATCACCTTATCCAGGAAATCTGTACTAGATTAGCACATCTTTTTCAAACAGCAAAAATAAATTATTTTTGGGGGGATTATTAACAGCACATGACATTTATTATTTTCTCACAAAGCAAAGAAATATCTTATGTACAACAGTGAAAGACACTGCACTTATTTCTCAGGAACTGGAAGCAGTGTTTGAATACCGCGAACAACCTTTGTGTAAGCTACAAGATACCTCCCACTACCTGGGTTTCCAGTCACTCAAAGCCAGTTCTGCTGCAGTATTGTGCTTATGTGACTTGAGCCAGCTGCATACCCTGATTTTATCCAGTAGAAGAAATACAGGAGAGTGATAGGAAGGCTTGGAGGAGGATTGGCTAGTGCCAGCTGGAAGGAAATGGTACTTGCAATTGAGTCAGTATAGATCCCACCCCCCACTCCTTATTGCAGCACCTTCCTGACTCCCAGCTGTGAAAGCAAGGCTGAGCAGTAGATAGTACAAGCAGTCAAGCTACCATAGCTTGCAAATCACTGCATAAGGCAAATGCTGGTGCTATTTTCATTGGCATTAATAGTACTTTTCTGCTTCATTTTGTACCATTTAGAAATCCTAATAAGGATTAGCCAGAATTTATTAGTACAAGACTGAAGGGAAAATACTTGTTGTCATAGCCATTCTTGGAGAATAACTACATGGTAAAATCTGTGTTCTCACAGCATAAAATGGTGACAAAACAGTACAGTATTGCAACTTGTACATATAACACTCTCAAGTGAAAGGTCTGATTTAAGCAGAGACTCTTGCAGAAGCAATGTGTGTTTGTACTTTAGTAAGTAAGCCATTTGTCCAGATACTCCTGCAAGCAAACAGCCACCCAAATTGCTCCCTGCAGCAGCACACATTGGAAGCCAACTGGCTCAAAAGCAGCTTTTCAGAAGAAGACCTGTGGTCCCAGCGGACAAGCTGAGCACAAGTCAGCAGTGCATGCCCTTTCAGCAAAGGCCAGCTGCATCCTTGGCAGTATTAGCAAGAATCCAGTCAGCAGGCCAAGGGAAGTGATTCTTCCCCTAACGGACACTTATGAGACCACAACAGGAGTGCTCTGTCCAGCCCTGAGCTCCCTCATATAAAAATTACTTCAAAATACTGGAGTCAGTCCAGCAAAGAGCTACCACCATACTCAGGATACTGGGGTAGTTAATGTTTGTGGAGAGGCTGAGGGAACTGGATTCATTTTGCCTCAAGGAGGAGAGACAACTCAAGGAAAACCTTACTGATCTCTTTAATGACTTAATGGAAGAATACAGACAACACAGGGTCAAATTCTTCTCAGAGCAGTGCAAAAGGATGAGAGGCAACAGATGCAGTTGAATACAAAAAAATTATCATTCTAACAGAAAAAAAAAATGTTTTGTCTTGAGGATGGTCAAATAGTAGGAAGGGCCCAGAGAGACTGAAATTTCCACCCTTAGAAATACTAAAAACTTGATTAGGCAGAGTCCTGAGCTGCCTGAACTAACTGGACCTTCTCTGAGCTAATGGTTGGATTACACAGCCTCTGGAGGTCCCATCCAAACTATTTAGCCCTTTGATCACACTCTGAATACATTTAACTACCACCAATATGTGTTTATGCTTGTATCAGTGTTAAACCAGCCTAAGCACAGAGGGTTGCTATTGACTGCAGTTCTGGAAGTCAGAGCCAAGCATTTAACTACCCTCTCCCAGCATTGACAATTGCCCTACCTGGTCACTCCTGATCCATCAGAAGGGAATGTGTTACAAGCAGTTAGACACATGCTCCTTGTACCTGTGGGTAATTCCCATCAAATAGCCAGTGTCTGAGGGCAAGAGTCAAACACAATCATTGTGAGTGAGCCTTTTCCCTGCAGCTGATGATGTGCCAAACACTGAACGCACATTTGTGAAGGAAGACACTGGTATGTTCACTCAGTACAAGATATAGTAATAGGGCTCATTTACACTTCCTCAACGACTTAAAAGAAATCTCACTGATCCACTCAATACAAAGGAGAAGGCAAAGAGCAGATTAGAGATCTAAACAGCAATTTAAGGCAACCATTGAAGACTAATCAAAACAGAGCAGAGCAAATTTAAAGAGATATTACTCCTACTTGTACCACTAGTTTTCATATAGGGTGTATTCAACTATGTCATCTGCAGGTTTCCTCCAGTCATCTGCTGCTGACCCTTGTTATAGATGGGATTCTGTACTTTATCCACCTTTGTATCCTTCCTGTTCTTGGGAGAATGTCAGAAATTTCTGTTTCATGTGTTGTTATAGGGTTTTTCTTCCTCCTGTGGCTGCTCTGGACAGGCACTCAAATTTGCAAATCACCACACACAAAAATATCTCTGGGGCTTACTGTGATATCAAAATTCATTCCTGTCCATGATACATCTCATAAGCACAACTCCCAAGGTCAACACACTTTCCAAGACTGTATTTTCCAAATTGCTGATTCCTCAACAGTTTAGCAGTGGCCATGTGTTTTGGCAGTCTGGTGAAAGGTTTCAGCAGTCAGAGCCTAGCATGTGTACTGAAGAGCCTAACTGCGTATCCCCCAAGCTACAGCACAGTAGCTTTTGTTAGGCCACATGAAAGGCTTCTTACCAAGCATGGCCTCTCCATCCTGTCCCACCTGTTAGGATGCTCTGATATACACCATAGCTGTGGTCAAAAAGCACTTGGAAATTACCGGAGAGCATGGAGGGGGGAAAGGGGTATAGGTTCATTGCACAGTCAATGAGGAGAAAAAGCCCTGAGTAGGCCGCAGGTCTGCCAGTATTTCTTTCTGCTTCCAGACACAGAGCAGTGAACCACTTGTTATTTGTTAGCTCATGACCCTTGTGCTGTACAGTTTTGAAGGTTCCACAAATTGCACTGTGATATTCATATCTTCTGTATTCCTTAAATAGTGATAGTGTACCAAGCAGCTTCTGCACAGCAACACACAAGCTGTGTGAGATCCAACTCGAAGTCAACAGGGATCCTTGGTTCATATTACATGAAGCAATAGATCAGACCCTGATTTTTCTGTCATGTGAAACCCTGTATATAGTCAATGATATTTCATTTAATGGATGATCTAGTTATTCAAGGGTGGCAATGCAACTGCATGAAATAACATTTACTTAAAACATATTTGGGATATGTTTGAAACCTATTGATTTCTGTATGATTTGCAAGATTTAATTTTTGACTCAGTTAATATTAAATAGATATACAAAAATCAGAATCTGTCAGCACATATAAGGAATTGTTAGTATTGATCTAAATCCATTACTTACTTCCTAATTTGTTCACATAAGTAAATTCTCTGCAGTTGCTGGGACTTGAAAGATCCAAGATCTGTACAAAATTCCACGCTTGGACTTAAACCTTCACATATTCAAGATTCAAAAAAAAAATCACCTGAATAGAAGCAAAAGTCAGACTCTTCAAACTAGCACAGATATTTTCCTTGAATGAATGGAGTCACCGATCACTTTAACGGGAAAATGTTACCCTTTCCTGACCAATCCCTAGCAGACACACCCAGCACATGAAGCAGTTACCATCACCACCACACTGCAAAGCCACTTTTGCAAGTTTCAGACTTACATCTGTTTAAAATCCAAACCAGCCACCAGCACATGTCAGAGGCTGAGTGCAGGAACAGAAACAAAAGCACAGCAAACAAGCACCTAAGCCAAGCTCCTGGCTCTTCTCATCCCTGAAGAAACCCCAGAGCTTGCAGAGTCTCAGGTCCCCTGGAGAGGTACAGAGACCAGGTTCTTCCCATACAGTACATAGCTATACTGCCTCTTCAGGAAAGCCAGACGCCAATTTTAGCTTCAGTTTTTATGTGCAATGTTGTTGTTGCTGTTCCTGTCAAAGCTCTTTCTATGAAGGAGAATATTCAGAACTCCTAGGATCACTAAGAGGTAGAAAACTTGGCATTTTCATTTATAGATGATGAAACCAATGCACAGACATTTTAATGGGTTTACTCAGAGACACCAAGAAAAATCAATGATAGAGAAAGAATTTGAGTTCATAAGCTCCTATCTCTCCATCCTGGCCTCATTCCAGAAGTTCTCATACATTTGTGGAGGGAAACCAATCTCCTATTTTTCTCTAGTCCTTCCAGGATGTCATCCTAGCTAAGGTGTGGAGAAAGCAGCCTCCAAAGTTTTGGATGATGTTTGAAAATAAATATTTCATGACTGCAAAGGTGAAAACAGCAAACCCTAGAAGCACTCATTTTGCTCAGGGGTGTGAAGTTTAATACTCAAAAAAAGCAGCATCTCATGTAACAAGAATTTTGGCTGCAGACACAATTAAGAAATATTTAG